TATTTCCATGGTTTGTTGTGATACCGCCATGTGTCATTTCTCTTTTCTTAATATGTGCCCTGTACATCCTTTTCATTGTTATTTTATTCTCTTAATACAAATAGATTTAACCATAAATCAGCTTTTAATAAATGAGTACAAATGTAAAAAGTTTACATACAAACAGTAAAAAAGAAAAAAGACAAGGAGGAATACATTTATACAAAGTAATACAGGTTAACTGCCCTTAACTACAAGTTTTAGGGTTAATAAATCTAATTAGAGCCAACTAGAAATAGTATTTGGTGAAACGTACATTTTATAAAGGCACTGCAGTCATGTATCTGGTATAAAGCGTTTCAAAAAAATTGGCACTACAGAAACAAACACAACTTAAAAGTTTACGAATACATAAAGAAATGGGGAAAAAAAAATACTTGCGGTTACTTAGGGTTCTATTTAGAATTGTATTATTTTTAGTTATTTCATTTTTATTTTCGGTGTGCTCGGGTTGCTTTGGACTCTGGAAGCCAGCAGAGTGCAATGCAGTCTAAAATGTGTGGTCACTCAGATTTGTGGTGCATGTATTATACGACTTGGGTATATTCAGGAACTGTCCTTCTATTCATTTAACCTCCCTGGCGGTACTCCCGAGTGTGGCTCGGGGTTAATTTTCAGTACCAAAAGCAGTAACCCCGAGCCACACTCGGGATTACACAAAAGTGTCCCTTGCCTTGTCCCTGCGAGCCCGCGGTGTCCTCTGCTGTACGCGGCCAGCCGATCAGGGGCATATATATTCAGAGGAATTGCCATGTGCTCAGTCTGGATCCAGCCATGGATTAATCCAGCATGCCCCCAGGTTGGGGTGGTGTCCAGCCTGCCCCAAGGTTGGGGTTGCGGGAAATGCTTTGTTAGGCCTCAAGCCTGTAGGAGGCCTTTGCTATGGATTGAGGAGAACCAGGGAAGATGATGACTGCTGGAGGTGCCTGGATTGGAATGGACCTCAGGAGAAAGTCTGGTGTCTCTCCTTTTTGAAGACCTTACACCAACCCCTATTCAGGTTCCTCAAATACCCAGTGTTTCATTTGACCCACACTGGAGTGCTAACAGTGACTGGCGAGTCTGGAGTCTGTGTCTGTCTCACCCTGATATCTAGGCCCCCTGTATTCCCCTATGAATACGTTAATAAAGTTCTTCAGCATCATACTTCTGGCCTGGATATCAGCTCTGCGGGTCATTAGAAGAGGGCAGTTAATGCTAATGGGGCAGCAGGTTCCTGTAATCCCTAGACAGGCTAGTGATGACCTGGGTTTTTCTGGCGGCTCTTTCGGGGGTGAGCACTACATATACATATGTGCAGTATTTGAGGATAAGGGAAGATAACTGTTTCTTTACTGTAGTAGAGAAGTTGGTCAACAAACTAGGTGCTGTGTGTGGTAAGGCTGTGCCAATCATACAACTGCATATGCCAATGCAAGTCCTCCACACATATTACTTACTAGGTAAAGCAATATAAATATACACACACATGCATATACATGGGAGTCATGGCATTTTATGGTATACTGTATATCACTGACTGGATCAGGGCATTTTAGTTATTTTTTTTTTACTTTACAGGTCTTAAGAATGTGAACAAATGTTGGTAGACAGTACTGATCAGGCCAGGTTTTGTCCTTCATCAACATTGCTACATTCCTGAATTCTGTCCCTGCCGCTAACACACACATTCTGGTTAGTATCAATGTCCATAAATGGTTGTGACATGAACTCCTTCAAATCAGCTGCTGTGAAATGACTAAATGAAAATAAAATGCCATAATCTGATCAGTCATGACCTACTTTCGGAGAGATCGAGATGAGCGAGAGAGAGAGAGAGACTGACTGCACTATTTGTATGGTAAATGCTCGGGTGCACATCCACAAAAATATCCATACAAATCCAAAGTAGATATATATATTTATTCTTGCATACCTAGAGTTAAATTGATTTTAAATATTATGGCTTTAGAATGGTCCTAATTAATGGTAAACCCAGAGAACGGACCCCATTCAAATAATATGCCTACAGCAGCCTGGAGAGAGGGCCCTGTGTCGCCCAGAAATGTTCCAAAAACAGGGCCATTTAGACCTGGGGTGTCAAACTTAATTTTATCGCGGGCCGCATCAGCATTATAGTTACCCTCAAATGGCTGGTTGTATCTGTAAGACTATATAAAAGTATCTGCTCTTTATCATAATAAATAATTGCCTCTGCATCTGATTATTACTGGTTTTAGTAAGAACTAGCTCTGAAAGTAGAAGTCCTGGAAAAATAATGGTAAGTAGTGTACTAGTGCGGACTCTCAGGTGGCTTTGCAGGTTCTATGGTGGCCTGTGCAGACTCTATGCTGGGTTGTGTGGGGTCTTAGGAGAGCTGTGTGAAGTGGCCCCAGCAGTCCCAGTCTGTCTCGGTGGCATGGATCCACAGGAGAGATTTGCTGCCGGTGCTGTAAACGCGCGCTGCGATTCACAGGAAGGCTGCCTGGACCTGTCTACTTCGGTTTTAGTATTGGAGACAAGGTAGGGGTGGAGACAAAGGGGGGGGGGGCAGCTGCAAGGGCCACATAAAATTAAGTGGCGGGCTAGATTCGGCCCGCGGGCCCCGTGTTTGACACATGTGATTTAGATGGTGGAAGAGCCTCTAAATCAGAGTTGGCAAATGCCTCGGCAACTGGTGAGAACAATAGAGGAAGACATTGGGCACAATTACTGCTATACCCTATTTAGGGAGGGCTGCACATTTTATACAACGGTCTGACCCACCTAAAAAAACAATGCAGTTTGACTTAATGTTACTTGTATGTATAATGGTCACACTGTAATATTTAGAAACCTGATTTATGCTGAAAACAGATTAAGCACACTCAACAAAAAAAAAAAAGTTTAGAAAACTTTATTAAAATCTAAAAAACAACATTTATTTGTGGCTGAGATTAACATACCATCATGAGATTTATTTAATAGAATGGTGGAGGTAAAACTGCACTTTAACCAAATGACAAATCAAAGGGTGTAGCAGCGGCACCCACTGTGAATTTCGGCCGGGTCATCAGGAACCCCCTGAAATCCGCACTGTTTATACCCTATTTAAACCCACCATTGGAGATAGACATTTGCATCAAGTTTTTCCGCCACCAAATTCAGTCTTCATCCCAGCTATACAACCTGGTTCCATCTAACGTATACACATCTTGGTGACTATTTAACACACTACACAAAGGACAAGACATGTAAAAGGGACAGACTTAAGTACATGACAAATATTTACATGTCTACATGCTTTTGGACAAATAAAGCTGCCGTTTTAATGCTTGTGAAAACATACAAATCTATACAATTGTACAGGTATAGGATATGCATAGTCTCCTCAAACACCGAATCACACAATCTGCTCAGACACCTTGGACATAAGTTCTGTGGGTCAGCATCTGTTCTGCTACAAATGTATTGTTAAAAGGTCTCTTTATGGTATTAAAACACAATTTCTGCTGGAACTTTATCCCTCCGTCACTTGCTGTCTTTATAGCTCATTCGTGCACCAAGCGCTCACTGAACATACATGTAGTTGGCACTTCATTAAAATATAAAGCACCCGCTACAGACAGGTGATCTCCATAGGGTGTCCATGCTCATCACGATAGTATGACACACTTGAGAGTATGACCAATTGTACAGTGTGAAAACAAAATGCCAGTACAAAATTCATTGCTTGCCAAGAGCAGATTTTAGGTTTATGAATTCTGTGTATTGCTAAGGAACGGGGAAGGAAATACATTTTGACATGTCCTAAAGAGTGGGGGGAAATTTATCAAAACTGGAGCAGTTACCCATAGCACCCAATCAGCATCTCTCTTCAGTGCGCTTAGGTAAGATTTGAAAATTTAACAGAGAAGCTGATTGGTTGCAGTGCAAATCTGCTCCAGTTTTGATAAACTTCCCCCTCTTTGTTTAGCACTTGCATGTAGAGGTGCACCAAAAAAACCAAAAACTTCAAAACCAAAATGAAAAAAAAAAGAAAGTCAGGCCGAAACCGAAAATGTTTTTCATTCTTTTAATAATTTTATTAAATATTTTTTACTTTTAGAGGCCTTGGGGGAAATATCAGGGGCCTGATATTTCCTTTTTAAAATAGAAAAAGAGAGACTTGTGTCCTCAATCTCTTTTTCTGCAGCTTCTGTTATAAATGAACAGGAATCCTCTATACGGAGTGTTCCTGTTCATTCATAACATGAGAACAGAATATGTTTACTATAACCCCAATCATGAATGAGCAGGAGGTGATGTAGATCATTTCCCATTCATTCAGAATTGAGGATATAGTAAATTATGTTCTCAATTATTTACAAACACTCAGCGATCACTGAGTGTTTGTACCCGCTCTCCTTCCTGACAGCTGTCACAGGAGGCAGGGTGGTGCGGGAGGAGATGACAGCAATAGCGGTCTTCACCCACACACCGCTCTCCCGATCTGTGACAGGAGGCTGAGCAGTGCGGTGAGGAAAGACACCGGCCGTTCACAGCGCTCTCCCCCCGCCTGTGACAGTTTCTCTCCTCCCCGCTGGGACACAGAGCAGCGCCCAGCAGGGAGAAAGAATGGATGCACCGCTAATTTGGCCAGAAAATGGCACTTTCAGCATTTTGCCAAAAGTGCCATTTTTGACCGATAAATCAGTGCATCCCTACTTGCATGTACTGCAGCTCTTCAGTCAACATGGAAAAGTAATCGTATAAGTGCACTGTATGAGATTTCATTTGAAACATGTTACGGTTAACGCCAATTAGGAACAGATCATTAACAAGAACGGTTCCTTTTTTCTCTTCATGCATCCATCTGCTTGGGATCTTGTCTATATGAATGTGGCCATCATTACAAGTTTGCTGCATGCTGGTTCTGGCATGGCAATGATATAGTCAGTGGAGCCGAATGCATACACTGCCCTGGAATCACCACAATAAAACATGCCATTTATAACATTACAGCTGTGTCTGCATCCAACATGATCTACTTCTTTAGAAGTCAGGAAGTGGTTCAGGTTTCTTGCCTTCTCTGAATAGCAGGTTGTCTGCCCGTAGTCTGTTTATCTCCTGTGGATTCAAGAAGAAAGGAGTCACATTGTTAGAAAAGCATCAAAAATAGTAAATACCTTCCACATATAAAATATTTGTCAAGCCAGAACCCAATAAAGATTTGTGTGACCTAAACTGGTAAAAATGATCCCATAAATGCATATTTATCAGAGTGTATATACTCAAGTAAGCACCAATTGATATGTTAAAAGGTGCTTTCCTAGATGTGTTGACAGTATATATATACATACACACATATATATATATATATATATATTTGGGGTGCATTCAAGTAACTGTCCAGACTTACTTTATGCTGTTGCAACCAGTTATTCCCCAATGCCATCAGAGGAAGTGAACCAGATTTATCTGTTGCAACTGGCACCAGACCAGGGGTGTCGAACTCAATTTAAATCGTGGGCCGCATCAACATAATGGTTGCCCTCAATAGGCCTGTAAGACTATATAAATGTATCTAATCTTTACCATAATTGCCTCTGCGTTCGATTATCACTGGTTTTAGTAATAACGTAATACCTAGATCTGAAAGAAGAAGTCTAGGAAATGGCCTGGTGGGCCGGATTCGGCCCCTGGGCCTTGAGTTTGACACATGTGCACTAGACAGTGATCACTGACAGAGTTCATTCCCTACACCAGTGGTTCTCAACCTGTGTAACCTCAGGACCCACATTTGCCATTGGTCAAAAGTTGCACTGCAATGGAACACATGGCATTGCAGTACCACACGTTCTGATGCGGGCAATAGAACTGTGGGTGGGAGATGCGTTTGGGTGACCTAGTACTCGACTAGTGTGAATAGGCCCTCAAAAACACTGACAGACACACACAACCACAGACATTAACACACAATTTTTTTAGAATCCACCAAGTCTTCCTATCTTACAAGAACTGGAGTGGATCCTCAGCCTGGGGTCCAGTGTGGGCTGCTGTGCTGCAGCTCCATCATTACGTGCATCCACTTGTACAGCTCCTTTGCACACCCTGCAGAGGTACCGGGAGCCAGAATGTTACATCACTCTGGTTCAGACACCTTTACAGGAGATGCAAGGCAACTGTAAGCAGTACATGTATGGATGGAGCTCCCTCATGACAATAGCCCCAGCCCACCCCACCTTAAGCTGACACTCGGCACCGGACAGCATATTTTGAATGGCTGCTTGGTGCAAGAACTGACTAGGGGGAGGCTGATGAGCCTGTCACCTAGAAAAGTGGAAGGCACACAGGGACCCACTGAACACAGGGTCGCGACCCACTTTTGGGTCACGACCCACCAGTTGAGAACCAATTCTTTTTTGTACATCTATTATTGTGTTATGTTGCATATTAAAGTGCGATAGAGCAACACAATAAATTTGAATGGTCTGCCAAAGCATCACAAATGGACCTTTTAACAAACCTGAACTTTTTTCAAGTGCAGCAACAAACACAAAGATGGTTCGCATAATGATGCAAAATCAGTGGAAAAGCAAAGCACCTGAACATATGACAACAATGCACATTGACACAAAATGTAAACCATGTGAGCTGACATGCATTTCAATGGTTTCACTCATCAGGCAAAATGCATAAGTAAGACTGGGCCTTACATTTCTATACTGGAATCCACCTACACGCATTAATCTGAGGAGTGCGTCATACCTCAATAAGCTTGTTGTTGTCCTTTTTCAGCTTCACTAGATACTGAATTTTCTGTTGTGGATTTTGATGTCCAAGTAGTTTCCCGTTTTCTTCCACAAGAGATGCAATATGCCTTCTTAACAATTCGGACTCCTGCAGGGAGGAAATTGAAAGTCTCATTGAGATTCATGAATTTTATGTTTATCAGGACGATCCAATTAAATAAAAGCGCCTTTGAGAATGAGATTTGGTTATATTAATATTTATATCCGCGTCCTAAAGAAGCTGCATCAACTTTAGTAGTGATATTTATTCTATGTTCTGAAGATAATGTTCTAACATATAAATAGTAATAGGCCTTTATTGTCATTTATGACTTTTTAATGGATCTGTTCATTTCCGCAGACATCTGTCTCCCGCTGTGAGGTGTATGCTTTGAACACTATGTAACCAGAGACTACAGGGGACATTTCCTTAAATATATAGAACCAAGCTTAACAAAGCTCCTAACCCTTCCTCTTAAAAATAGGAAAATATTATACTTTCTGTATCACTGTTGGGGAGTCTGACAACCATCATACAGATAGTTGGGAGGTGAGGGATCACCCATAGAGAAACACAGGCAAGGGATCACCCATAGAGAAACACCGATAAAATTTAAGGTAACACCTATTTTGACATATAGAAGTCCATTTAGTAGATTTAAAAAAAAAAAAAAAAAACAACACAGGTAGCTCATGTTACACATTAGCACACTATGCTAGATCTTAAAGTCAATATAGGGAGCTCTTAACTCCACAACAGAGGGGATGATCTCAGACAAAAAACAGCATGATCAGTTTTAATCATGGATGTGTTTATTGCTTGTATGATAATGATGTTACCTACGACTATAAAATAATGCAAATGCTTCACTTGCATACATACAGGAAATGTTCCATTTTTCTCCCCATTACGCTGCATTTACACCTAAGCGACACCTACTGTGTGCATTTTTATGAGGCGATTGTGGCATATTCATGTGCAAAAATATGGAGGTACCGCAGTCACCTGCCGCAGACAGCAGAATATTTGGGAAAAAAAAAAAAAGGTATATCTCTGTTCTCCCCGATAAGCGTCATGAAATTGAGGGCAAATAGGAAACAAAGTTGAAACTGCTCTGTCCACCTTCACCCCTGATAAAAACACACTACACCACCCTGAGGAAAACAGGAAAACTAAATGTGCATGCTCACATGCGCAGTAGATAAAAACAAGTGCATCAGCAAATTGAAGTCCCAGCCTCTTAATGAAATGGGAAATTGAAATAAATTCAGTCAAACTCCACATAGAAAGGCATTTAGCCAAACAGGAGTCTAAAAGCACACAGCCAAAGTAAAATAAAAAAGGAGGGAAAAAACACCCAACCTTATAAACATGAGGTAAATGCATTTTTTACTCATGACTCCACGGCCCTGTTCCTGACATAACAGGAATCCCTAAATAATACTGGCCTGACCGTTAAATGATGAAAACGGGAACACAGGACGAAGCACCAGTACTGAGACCAGAAATGACCTGCTTCGTGACAACTAGAGAAACTCCCAGGATTCAACCTATCTGGCATGAATCTCAGTTTTGTTGCCTAGCTAGAGAAACTTTCAGGATGGGAGGAGTGGCCCCGCCTTCATCCTTACCCCTGCTCTCTTGCATACCCTGTACTATATATTCCTACTCTCTCTTCCATTTTGGACCACATCATTAATGCCCCTTTCTGATTTTCTCAGACCCACCCAGTGAACCTTCATACACCGGACAATATGCACAGTATGCCCATTAAATCTCCTGGCCCATTGCCCACAGCCTAGGACATGTGCGGATCAGTCATATGCCCCAAGTAGGGAAATGCTCAGTGTATGCATCAGATCTTATATCCGTCATTGTACTCCATGTGCAAAAAAAACCTAAAACAAATAAATGACAGCAGGCATTGCATGTAGCAAGATGCTTAAGGCCCAATATCTTATTATATATGAAGTGTAAGTAAGGGTGTGCAGATTACAGTAACCCAAAGCAACAGATTTCAGTGAAATACATTTTTGATCCATTGTTGTGAATCTCTGTACTTTTCTAGGACTTTCTAAATGAGTCTAGAAGTTCACAGAAAACAGGAGCAGCATGTCAAATTTTGATATGCAAATTGGCTCTAAAAAATACCGTATTGTTATCACTTGTCTTATTACCTGTAACTTTTTCTCAGTCTCTTCATTCTTTGTTTCCAGCTGAGACCGAATGTCCTCTTTCTCCTGGAAGGCCTTAAGTTCTAAAGCTCTTGTTCGGTCAATTTCCTTATGCAGCTCACTGAGTGACTTTTCTTTACTCCTCAGCATGTCCCTAGTCTCGTCTAGCCTATATAGATATAAAAGAAAACCAGAGAGCTACAAGACAACCCAAACATAGAAAACTAGGCAACAACATTTCAGGACAGGACTATGGAAGCTGGTGCTGTCCACTTGATCACCTCTGAGTTGTTGATCTGAAAAAAGAAAGCAGCCAGTGAAGCGTTAGGCCACTTGATGCGTGCATATATGTTCTGGGGCCAGCTCCTCACCAAGTACTGAGGAATGATGGCAGCTCTCTTTTCTGGCAAGTTCCTTTTAAGGCTGAAATGATTTTCTAAATAAATGAGAAACTGCCATGTGCCTGAACATTTATGATACGTGCCAAGCTAATATTAAGCAAATACTCACAAAATTTTTCCAAGTATACTTTGTATCGTTGGACACACTGTACATGTAAATGCTTCATGTGAGATATTAAGATATCAAGTTACCCTGAGAGCTATTCCGGTGGTAGCATAGCTGTCAGAGGATGTATATAAACTGGAGATGCAAGCCAAAGCTTTAAAAGGTTTCTAAACCCTAGAACAAAAATGGTAATATATTGCAGCTTACCAGTCCTTATGTGGTGGCTGCATTCCCCCCCCACCCCTTCTTTTTCACTTGCTGATCGTACCAGTAACAAACTTCCAGTCCTAGGTTGACAAGCCCCTGGTGATGGCATATAGAGTTGATGACAGGTCCTCTTTAGGGAGACATCAGGGGCTCTAAACAGTCTCAACATGCTGTGATCTCGTTTAAACTCTCCGATTGCCATGACATATTCTATAAATCACTGGCTATCTGGAAATGGTACAGCCATGACATGCAGTTATCTTCGAGGCAGTGAAAGGGTGAAGAATTTAGTCAAAAAAGACACATAAATCTCAAATGGACTGCAAAGGTTAATTTTCGGCTATTGCTATTAAAATTCTCATGTGCAGTTTTAGCCTTACTTAGACCAATAGCCAAACTTACTCAGCTTGCATTTTCAAAAGTTGCTCAGATGTTCGACCCTATTGTAGAAAAAGAAAACCGTAAGACTTGACATAAACAGCTAAACGTAGAACACGGTCAGATGAAGTTATAAATCTACTGGGTTAGCCATGACAGGTATTGTTTTTCAAGTAAATTAACAAATGTTCAATAAAACTAAAACTCAGCAGGATAACATTTTAGAAGCCATAAAAAGAAACTCCATGTGTGGTATAGGACCATACAAAAGATATCTATGACACTAAACTCCTATTTGTGATGACCATTTCCTTCCAAGAGTTCCCCATCTATTACAGTTATTTTATGTATTTATATTATTAGCTGGCATGTTGGCAACTGGCAATGCAGTTGGGTAATATTTTCTGGAGTGGGATGTTATATCACCAAAGGGCTTGGTTCATACTAGAAATAGAGCAAAGCAGCAGAAAAGCAACCTCACAGGCTACATTCCCCTGTACTACATTTACATTTTAATATAGTTATTATTATAGTGGAACTATAGTCAAAGTTTTATCTTTGGACAGCATGGGACAAAGCTCAAGCTTCTAGCATCGTATTTTTCTGCTTCCTGTCCCAGTGAGGAGTTAAAGAAATAACACCTTTGATGGTAGTCACCAGGATAGTCACCCATCAGGAGATTTCCACTTACCTCTAATTCTGGGGACAACTGTCAAGAGTGGGGTTTCCATTTACTTTCTGTCTCAGTGACAACTGGGTAGATCTCCAAAACAGGGCTACAGACACAAATTTATAATCCAGCAGAGGTACTAAAGTATATCTAAGGCCAAAACTTTTTTTTAGGACAGAATAGGGTAAGGTTAAAACTGCTGCCACTTTTTATTTTAACCATCTGTGTCTCTAGGGAGATTTCCCATTACTTCCTGTCTGTAGGCTGAAGTACTGAGAAGGATATCATCTTTGGACTCATTCAATAGGTACAATGGTGAGTCCCATAACATATAGCAAGCAATCAGTAATACATTTTGGGACTACAGTAATCTGAAATTGGATTGGTAGCCATGGGTGTTTTTGCACAGTCCAATGTGTTTGACTTCTGTCATAGAGCAGAAACAATTCAGAAATGACATTCAGCAATTACCTTTTCTAGCCGTTCAGAAACTTCTTTTTCAATTTCTTTCTTCAGATCAAGCATGTCAGATTTTGAATGTTCATTGCTGCAATCATGAAACAGAGAATAGAAGACTGTAAATAAACTGCAGTCAAGGTGTTTGCCATATACAGAACTGAAACAACTCTGTTTTAGGGCCCTGCACATGAGCACAATGGAGGTATAAATCGGACTTCCCTCTGAACATTGCCAGTCTTTCCTGCAGCCTGCCATCAGTGGGCTACCTGTAGGAAGACTCTACACCCTGGTAAGATTTATTTAGATACAAATAAAAATCGTAATGGGGCTAAAGCAGTACAGTGCAGTGTGAGATCTTTAATGAATCAAACTGGCAACATGGAGCCAAGTCAGATTAAAGCCTAAATCTTCTCTACCAAACCTTTTTAGCTCAAGTTCTTAACCCTTGCAGTGCAGGAGTAGCCCACTGTGAGGGTATGTTTTTTTTTAACATTCTCAGAGTTCTTCTTTAGAACTCTAAGTTCAAACAACTGGTCAGGCTACATTCCCTGTACTATATTTACATTTTAATGTTAGAGTCACAATGGTGACATATCATCCCACTCCTCAAAGTCACAACGCAAGGGTTAATTGCTTGTTTTATCTAGAGGGCTCAAATAAAGCAGATATACTCACCCAATACTTGTTCCCTCTAGGATGCTAGACCAGTCCCTGCAGCCTAATGACTGCCAACCTTAATCACATCTAATGCAGGTCCATCGACTTGCATTAAACCTGACGATGCCGAGGGAAATTCCACAGCTGGAGCTGAGAGGAAGAAAGCCGAGTGCCAACCATTGCGGGACCGAGGATCAGGAAAATATTTCTTAAACCCCCTGGACAAAAACGAGCAGTTAACCCTAGGGTAGCCCCACTGCAAGGGTAAGTTTTTAAAATGCCTGTAGTTCCTTCTTTAAAGCAGACCTAAATTAAAAATGTTCATATGCAGTGATTTTAACCCCTTTGTGACCGCAACACAACTTTCTAAAACGCACTGTAAAATGCCAAATTAATGTTATTTAACTGTAAAGCTGAGACCATGGAATACACAACAGTGTATTTTCCTTGTTCTCCACTAGTGAAATCAATTATATGTATGATGCACTTTTCTGTTCTACAAGTTTAAGACTATCTATAGTCTGTTTATTAATGTTATACCTGTATGTGGGTTTATGGTGAGATGTATCGATTCGCCCCGCGGCATGGGGACTAGTTTTAACCGCTGTTTGTATATTATATAATTGTAATTTGTATTAATACAAATGAAGTTTTAGCTTACATTAGGTTGGTTGCTGTACTGAGCACTTACAATAGAAGTGGCTAAACCATGAAAAAACTTGGGGCTTTTTTTAAGGGGTGTGGTACATTTATTTAGATGGTGGGCCTACCATTTGTATGTAAATCTGCTGAAGGGAACCAGTTCAGGTTGGCCGATACTCCTCCTGAACAGGGATCATGTAATTAAACGTACTTGTAGGCTGTAGAGGACCATAGAAGTGCCTGTTGTAGGCCTCAACTCTAAGGCCAGGTCACCAACTCATCTTAGCAAGTACTCCATAGTATAGCTTGAATGGTGCAGGACTAAGAAATTCCCTTATTATTTCAGCTAACATTGTAGGATAGTTTTTATAGCCAATGTCATAGAACAAGCTATTGTTACATACCAAATATTTTCCCCTTTTCTGTTTTTTAGTTGGATTTGTAACTCCGTGCATTGCCCCTGCAAATTCTGGATCTCAAGACGAAGGTTTTCTGTTTCACATAACTGAGTCTAAAACATAACAGAGGCAGCAATTCATGTTAAAGGATTTTAAGTAACAAAAAAAAAAAATTAATATTCAAGTTTCATCAGATGGGTCCTTGTAGTAACAGGTATTGTGACATTATAAACGTAAGCCACTTTCATAGAAAGTAGGGATGTTCAGATACTTGGCATTTTCATTAGAACTACCAGGGTTGCAGCTGGGACCTGGCTCTGGTGCTCCATCACTGTCCTGAAATCATTAGTCTGTATTGTTTTAGAAAAACTGTCACATGACAACAAAAATGTATCAGAACTTGTATCTGTGAGTACTTGGACATGTATCAATACTTTTAAAAAAATAATATCGGTGTATCCCTTATATTTATTAATTAAAAAAAAAAAAAACAAAAAAAAAAAAACACATTTAAAACAGAGATGTAGAAATCCCAGGAGCTCCGTGTGCACCTTACAAATGACAGCTGCCTCCTAACTTTTGAATTTTTCTCTAGTCTAGTCTTGGAGCTGGAAAAGTATCTGTACTTGTACCGAGTACTGTACTTGGTATTTGAACATCCCTAATAGAAAGGGATGTAAAGTGTTAAAATATTACAGATTATGCAATGTCTCCATTTCATATACTATTGGTGCGCCATGGAGTTCTAAACTGACAGCCATGTTCAGTTATTAAAGGATGAATACCTTAAGTCTGATTATCTCTTCGTTTTTGGACATTCTTTCCTCGTTTAATTCCGTTATAAGCTGCTCCAAGTGTGAATTTTTATTGACAAGACGTGCCAGCTCATTGTCAAATGGATTTCCTACTGGCGTTTTTGGAGTCTATATTAAACATTAAAAAAAAAAAAAAAAAAAAAGTTAGTTAGTGTTAGGAAAGTGAGAACTTTTGTTTTTCCTCTTCCGTTTGCTCTTGTCCCTGTAACAGCTGTAGTCTAACCTAGTTGCATGTTAAAAAAAGGCCTTTTTGCATTGTGTGGATTGCTTGGCTTAATGGTCAAAAATATTAAAAAGTATGGGCATCTCAAAAGGTGCCAAAACTGCAGATTTCCACTGCTGACCATATGGCAATGTCAGCCTGAAATGAAAGTAGTATTAAACTCTCCAACCTTTTTTTCAATAATGAATCCAGATCAAACAGATATACATTGCAAAGTAGTTCTTTATATGTTTGACCGAGCACTTACAGTCCTAATGTTTCTGAACAACTGGTTCCAAATCTCTCAGCTAAGCTTCCCTGAGCTACCTGTAGAGACACACACAGCTTACTAGCACACACAAGGGTGACTGCATAGCAGTCTGCTTGAGAAAGGAGTCACTCTAAAACAGGAAGTCAGGACCAGTGCTCAGGGAAAAAGCAGATTCTGCAGGAAACTAAAACTTCTACACCTCAAGAAGCAGTATCTATTGGAAGTGCTTTACCCAGCATTTGGAATAGCTGTAAATCCTTTTGACTAATATTGAAGCTTACCTGTACTTGGATGTGGTGGCTGCATTACTTTTATATGTTTCCCTTATTTTACCTAGTAATCCTATGAACAACACTTCCTGTCCTAGGGTGGTTGCGCTCACTCACCTCACTTTAGACACACAAGCTGGACTTCAACCTCCCTGGCGGTCTGATTATCTCAGTATTTTCTCTCTTTTTTTACTTCTGAATTTCCCGCCGGTTCCGCCACCTGCAACGCGGGTGCTCGCAAGGGAAGAAACCCGGAGGACGGCATCGGCCAGAGGAGACAGCGGGGCTCGTAGGGACAAGGTAAGTGACGCACAGTGTAATCCAGAGTGTGGCCTGGGGGTTACCGCTTTTGGTACTGAAAATTAACCCCGAGTCACATTCCGGATTACCGCCAGGAAGATTAAAGTCCATCTCCACCTTTGTAAGTAATTAGAGGTGCAGTGATGATGTATACATGTGCACATTTTTAGGACTCGCATTGCAGGCTTTCCTAAATTTAAAAAAATAACTTTTTACTAGGCCTGAATCCTAGAAATGTAAAATTTTCTCCACAGGAAATTCCATCTGACACTGGGGATTGTAAAGCAGGCTGTACCCAGATGCCCCCCTCCTTGTGATTCTGTGTAACATAATCACTAAACACCAGCTCTGCCTTTACACACAATACACTGTCCAGGAGGGGGGGGGGTTGCCACTTGTACTTGCTAAATAATGTTCTTGGCATGAAAAGGGGAAACTAATGCAGCCACGGCATCAAAGGACTGGCAAGTTGCAATTGATTACATTTTTGTTCTTGGGTTTAGGTATTCCTTTACGAACTTTCTTATTGACAGAAATAGTGTAAGTACATAGCATAATAATTTTGTACACTCCATCCATAACTAAAAGGAAAAGAATCAAATAAGTATCCATTTCTTTTACTTATGAAAACCAAACTCCAAAAAAAGTCAGTCACTTCTAAAGTGTCATGATTTTTTCCCCTATTAGTTTCTTTGGAGCAGGATTATACAGAGGGCACTACAGGCATCTTCTATTGCTTAGAATAGAGGGTGATGTGAAGAGAAGGGACATATTTGAAGGACCATTATTTTAAAAGTGCATTAACATACAATGCCTTGCCCCTTTGTTAGGGCAGACAGTCCGGCAACAACTGATAACGAAGATCTGCCAGCACAGTACAGACAGGGTTCAATATAGTAAACATTAACTCCCCAGTATCCTGTTTAACACACACAACTTCAAACTTCAGTTTTACTTTAAAAAGTCAGATGCTAAACAGCATTTTTTTAAATCTATTTTTTTTTTCAAGTTAAGTGAATGAGAACTTGTAACAAATATAAAATAGGTGTTATCCCAGTTTTGGCTGCAGAAGTGGAAAAGTGGAAATACATTTTAAGTAAATCTGCATAATTAGCCAACATGAGTAATGGTGGCAAAAATTTAATTGTCGGAAGGCTACCCGTAGAAGCACAGCAGGGGATCCTCTGTTGCTGTTGGGTGGTTTTATTCCTTCATCATCAGTCTCTGGCATTTCAAGCACCTGTAACTGAAAACAGAAAAATCGGGTTACTGTGCTGTATAAAAAAACAAAAAAACAAAACAAAAAAAAAAACAAAAAAAAAACATAGTTGGCATTTCCCAAACAGCAATACTCTAATATTGAAAACTACAGGCAACCATTGTTTTTACTTCCTAGCAAAAGACAAAATAGGAAGCGAGCGGTGCTTATTCCAAAGTAAATGGAAATCTGCACTGAGCCGTGCGGGTGAAAGTACTCGTACGCCGACAGGATGGATCCTGCCTGCGTCCGAGCCAGAAAACACGCACCCCTACGAACCTGCACTTGAGGTGAGCATAGGTGGGGTGTACGGCCGCGTAGTCCCATAGAGAAGGACGGGGGCTGCGTAATAATCACACGCACCTGTCCTTCCCGGGGGCTGCTCGATACGGCCCTGCACGCAGCACGGAGCTGTACGTGCGGGCAGATTACAGCGGTCAGCGCTTACTTCCTGTAGTAATGTAGTAGGTGGCGGGGGAAGCAGGTGATTAAAACATCAGGAATTGCCGGATACCTATAGCTGCTGGGGATCAGCAGCACAACAGAATTGTAATACACAAGTTGCTAGAAAGGGAAGTGTACATCATCCTCTTTTACAGGTTCGTTGTAGTTTATTTAAAAGCACTTAGTGACAGGATTCACCTTAATCAAAAAAGTGTGCTACCAAGAATACCCATGCATAAGTACTGCGAAGATGGGCATTTCTGTCAACCACAGGCTTTTACATGCACCGTCTAAGATACAAGGGCATTTTCAATAGGACATGCTGCATCCAGACAAACATGATGCAATGCAAAACAATTCAAACACAGCCTCAAAACTGCCACTCACACCGCGTCATTGAGGGTAAATAGGAATCTGCTGACCCACGTTTGATATGAATTTCACAGCACGCATCAAATTCAGGTAAGCAATGTCCATGTGCACAAGCCCTAAAACCTCTTGGCAACACATTGGTATTAACAAGTCGGGTTACCTGGTTTGTTAGTTCTGTAATCAATTGTTCTTTTATGAGCAATTCCTCTTTTTGGTCTATAAGCAATGCTTCTTGTTTATTAAAGGCTTCAGTTAACTTGCCAAGCTGTTCAGTTGAGTGAGCCAAGTCATCACATAAAAGTTCTCTCTGTTATCAAGTTCAAAGCAAAAATATTAATAAAAGCAATGCTATAACAAAAGTTCATTACTGTATTGTTTCATGCACAAGGCAATTATCCACCAGGTGGAAATTGATATGACAGATTAATAAAAGGTTACTTAGCAAAGCTTACCTCAATGTTGTCAGCCGACTGCTTCCTTTCCAAGCCTTCTCTCAGTTCCTCAATTAGTTTCTCTTGCTCTTCTAAAACAGTTTTACCCTCTTCTTTTGCAGATAAGGCAGAACTGTATTTACCCTACAAAAATACAAATAGCTTTAAATCAGACACACCGTTCCTAAGTTTACATACTGATTTTTACACTGGACTTTACAAATCCAAACTCTGACTCTATAGCTAAAGATGCAATCTGTATAAAGAGGAAATGTGCATGGATGTCTATAACGGAATTAATTCAAAATAGTCAGAAATGATAAAGAGGATGATGAAGAAAGGCTTACATAGAAACCCCAGCATCATACAGTATGGAAATTGCTCATGCTCAGGACAATTTAAAATGAATGGAACACAAAGTAAGGAAAATTCAGTCAAAAGCATTGGATAGTAGAATTGTGCACATACATTGAGATCTTCTAATTCTTGTGTAAGAACATCTATAGACTCCGTTTTGTGTAAGAGGGTTGTTCGTAAGCTTTGGATTTGGTTCATAAGATCAGTCATGATTTCCTGCAACAGAATAAAATCTTAAAGATTTTCAATTTCACTGTATGTACAAGTTTATACACAAAATTAACGTGTAATAGTTACTGCCAACTTAAGATTAAATGAAGATTTCAGAAAAACAAACAACCTACTATTCCAGTGGCTTTACATGCTGTTAAAAACATTGTTTTCTTTAAAAGTGAATGGCTGGATTAAAATGATACTTTCTTTATGCTTTTTACCCAACTAGTGTTCAGTAAGGCCATTATCACACGGAGGGACCAACAGTGAGATACAGGAAGGGATAGGGCAATGAGTGCCTTTAAATCCAAAGTCTGTGTGTACAACTGAGCTCCCTGGTCTCAGTGTTGTCGTGGCACTGAGACAGCCATAGAAAAAACGACATGCAACCACCTCTAGGTGCCTGGATTTCACGCTTGCTGGTGGTTTATAATTTTTACAAAGAGCAAAGCTTTACTTTTAAATTTCCATGTAAAGTTCCCTATACCCTGTTTAAAATGAATATGAAAAACACATATACCTAAAAAGGAAAACACAATTTATATTATGTTCGCATATGAAGTGTGTTAAGAAAATGTGTGAAAACCATCACGGCCCCCTTGAAACTAGGCTTTGAAACGAATTCCTCGGCATTGGAAAACACCCCAACCACCGTCGGTCAAGGAATGGCTCTCCCGAGTGGAACAGGTAACAAACATGGAGGAGCTCATCTGCTCCTGCAAAGACGATATGCCTCGCTACCTACAGACCTGGACGGCTTGGCATCTGTTTAAAGAAACTAGGCCTTTACCTGTTTGGCCTTTCTACAAATCCAGGCCTTCATGTTAGAAGGAAATATAACAATTTTATTTTAGGAATTTGGCAGCATCATTGGACACAAAGGGAACGCATACCTTATCTGAACCACATTTTTTCTCAAGATCGGTAATGATTTCTTTTGAAGCAGTCAATTGGAGTTCATGAGTTTGTAGCTCTGTGATCTAAACAGGATTATAATGCAATCATTACATTATGTAGCATTTTCGAAACATTGCACATTGAAAGTGTGTGTCCTGTTTCTATCAAAAGAAGATCAACAATCTGGATATTATTGCAATATGCCTTCTAGAAAACAATGCAAAAGTGGTAAAGTCAGAAAGTTCACTCAGTTTATAAGATCTTCATAATACCATACAGAATAAAACACACCTTTTTAATAGGAGGAGTGGACTTCCAGAAGCAAGGTGCAAAAGAGAAAGCCAAGCCCACCAATGCAAGTATATAGTAACAGACCTCGATGACCGAGGTCTTATAAGGCACAAGTTAAGCTGTACAGCTTTTTCTGCTATCCAAGTTTAAGAAGTTCTAGTGTAGGGTAAGAAGTGGAGAGACATCAGTAGAAAGAACATTATAAGAGACTGATTGGAGTTGTGTGGGAGAGAAGAAAAGGTGAGAGAGAGGGAGTTAAGTGACCCTTTTTCTGCCATATTTACAGTTGTCCAACATCCTTTAAATTTTCTGCTAGTTAAATGATAAAGTGCTGATTCCATCACTTTTCAGGTTTCAATGTCATCACGCACCCCAAATAAATTTAACTTTGTTTGTGTTTTATTTCTTCATTATGGTGGGTTAATGGCTTAAAATTGTCATGTCATAGTTCATAACATGACATGGTTCCCGCAGACCACAGTTTAAGTTTTTGCTGCTGCAATTTTCTTTCCCCAAGAACAGTAATGCTCAATAAATGGCCACTTTAAACAAGTCCCAAACCTGGGTTTTCAGGTATTACTTGTAACATAAATTAAACGTTTTCCAGTCCTAGAGTCTAAGTACACATATGGTCTTTCCTTATGGTGCTTTTGACAAAATACTTGAGGGGGAAAAGCAGCAGGCTCAACCTATTGTTCCATATGGATATGGCCGTACTGCTTGTTAAAATAACAGCAAGCAAAAAAGGACACCTAGTGAAACTCAGAGCAGAGATTAATCTTGTTTTTCCACTCAACACTGATGTGTACATACATTTTCCCTTTGCCTGCCCCCTCCCCTCCCCCCCAGCTTTTTAGCCAAATTCAACTTGAGAAGAAACCATCTGTGTGCACAGACACGTCCTAAAGAGTCAATACAAATGGCTTTACCTGCAGCTCACATTGAGTTGTTAGCTCCGAGCACTGTTTTTTGAGGTTCACATTCTCTTCCAAAACTCTCAAAAGCTTTCTATAAAAGAAAAAAAAAAAGAATTATAAGGACAGAACATTACAGTTATAAAGGATCCATGGTTACAGAGGCAACCTCAGCAATAGTTAAGGTAATTGTCAATACAGGGGAGCAGTTAACTCCTTTGTACAGCACCCAGCTTAATCTACATCTGAAAGCTGCATTTGAGAAAGGGGGGAAAAAAAAAAAAAAAAAAGGTATGTTCCTATCACTGTGTTGACTGTCCATTCCTGCTCTCCATGTCTCTCTGTTGCCTACAGAGTATGGTGAGGGAAAATAAAGTAGGAGGAGGCAGACCACACAGCAGAAGTCACCAGTTTACTATTTCCTGCAGCATCCAGTTTTTAAGGTATGCAAGATGGTTTACAGTAGTCCTATCTTTGCATGAGGCGGTGGATATCAGTGGCTGAAAAAGCTATAAGTGCGCTTCACTCATATAATGAAGTCTCATTTTATTTACTTGGAGTTGTTTTCTTTGTCTTCTTCCAGTTGAGATTTCAAGTTTTGTCGGTGCTCTTTTTCTGTCTCAAGAAGCTCCAAAAGATTCTGTTAAGCAAAAGGTAGGCAGGCATTATTTTAAGCAAATGTTTGCTCTATTTCATGAAAACTGTACTCCTAGACATGAGAGGATTTAAAAATCAACGGATAGATTGAGCAAGTATATCTATTGTTTTGGGCACTAGCGGTTAAAGAATCTGGTAGCAACGGAACTGTTTTTTTCTGTATTCTTTTTTATTTTATTTTCACTACCTGCAATTGCTTCCCTTGATTGTAAACTGGAAACTTTTCTTCAACCCACTTCAAAGCCATATAAACATGCATGTCTGGGAGATCTGGCGGGCCTATTGCCTTCGATGTTTGTGACCAGCTTTAAAGTAAACTTGCACTGAAAATGATGTGGAGGCTATCATAGTTGATTTATCCTGGCTGCCATACAAATCCAGTAACTTCATTGCTTTTAGAATCACTGACAACATGCATGCAGATAAGCAGGTAGGTCTTAACTCTGACTTTACTTACAGCATGTTTGTTCAAGGTCAGTATTCAAATCTGTGATGGCCAGACAGCCAGATGTTCTGGAGGTAAGCAAAATTATATTTTAATTTAATGGGGAGCCTAGATGGAAAAGTTAGTTTGTGTCATATACGTCCTGGATACTCCACCAATGATAGCTCCCTGCCATAAGTCCTTCCTTTTGCAGCCCAGCAGGGAGTTTTGGGTGAACCTCTGGTTAAACTACTACTACTACTTCTAGTAAACTGCAAAAAAAAAAAGCCAATACAGACGTGTAGTCGATAGAGCTCAAACAAAGGGAGTATATGCATTCACAGTAAAACTGACCTGTTAAGCAGGTTCAGGCCCTACAAGGCGGAGGGCATACCTATGGCTAAGCAGATAGAAAATTGGTATTAGCATAAATGCCTGGGGGGCGAGGATGGGGGTGTGCTCCAGGCTGGGTCATTTTAACAGTCACAATAAACATGCAGACCTGGTAATTTAAATCCAAGGATCCTACCAGTTGAGAGCTTGAGAGAAACAAGGAACCATTAAAAAACCAAACCCCACACACACTTTGATTGGGCTAGCCCTTTTAAGAACTTTCATGACTAAAATACTTCCCTTCTGACCTCTTTCAATAAAGAAAACATGGAAAAAATTAAATTAAAGCATACCTAAATTGCCATAAACACAACATGCATCACAAGGTCAGATTTCCCTCTTTAGCTACCCAATCCCCCAAACCCAGGTCATTCTGTATATTGACCCAGCTTCATAGATTGAAAGCCTCACCATAACCCTTCCATCCTTCAAAGCCACAATCCTCAGTTGATAGGTCACTAGCACCTCTCCCAAGCGTGCGCCACAGCCTGTGTGCGAGAGCTGCAGAGACATGCTAGTGACAGGGCAGTCAATAGAGGGTAGGGGGCAATAGCAGGTGGACACAGGCATCCAACATACTCAGAAGTGTTGGAATAGGATTACCGTTAAATTAATCACAGCTTTGAAAACCTCAACCTTGGTGAGTCTAAAGGGGGGATGGAGAAGGATCTTACACCAAGTTCGGCTTTCACTGTTTCGTTTTCACGTTTGCCGTCAGCAAGCTCTTGTTTTAGTTGATCAATTTCGAATTTCATGACTTCTTCCAGATTATCATAAGCATCTTGTAGTGATCGCTTCTCCTCCAATAAGCTTTCATGCTCCAGCCTAATTTATTGAACAGAAGTAAAACATCTTTTGTTATCAGTTCATATCTCAGCTTCTGACCATTTGTTGTTAACAAACAATATTTACATTAATTAAACAAATCAGCAGTGGCTCCTATAGTAATCAATTAGTAGAAAACAAATGTTAATCCCCACAAGGTAAGTGCGGATATTGGCTAGTTTATAGAATGTTTTAACCATGAAAAACTAATTGATTCCACAACTATTACCTCACTCTATGAAGTGTACTTAAGCAATAAAACAGCTCCCCACATAGATATAATGCATCTTTACCCATAATAAAGCATTAAGACTAGAGATGCACCGATAGCGGTTACTACAGTAGTACGAGTACCGATATTTTTTTTTGGGTACTCGCAGGTACCGAATACCGGTGGATTGTGCCCTGGTTATCGGGTGGCGATCATGACCCGTCGCCCGGCTTCCTGATGGGCTGTGAAGCCGGTGTTCTAGTGAAAGAACACTGGCTTCAGAGGCTGCCTGACCAATAAGGAAGCTGGGTCATTATGTGCCGTCCGGCTTCCTGATTGGTTAGGAAGCCAGGCTGCTTAGCAACACGTGAAGTAGGCTTCCTAGCCAGTCAGGAAGCTGGTAGGCGTGTCGTAATCCCCCGCCAAGCTTCCTAATTGGAAAGAAAGCCGACTCCATGAACCTTGGCACTGACGGTCAGCGGGAGATCTCCCTCTGACCGGAAGTTCCGTTACTGGAGGCAAGTATCGGAGCATTTGGGTGAGTAAGAGTACTCGCCAAAATACTTGGTATCGGCACCGATACTAGTATCAGTGCATCCCTAATTAAGACCTATTATGAATGTGTTTTTACCCGGACAACTGTGTATACAAATATGAACCTAGGTGAAAAGAATTCTGGATGTATTTTAAAGGGGTGGCTTCGTATACATGACCCTGTAAAGTGGCAGGACAAAGTCATTAGGCATTCAAGGTAGATCCACCACAATACATCCCCAGCTGATACAATACTGCAGTAATCATGGTGCAGGAATAAAATGCATGTTCTCAAGCATCATACATAAATGTTCCGTTAGACTTACCGGTAACGGTATTTCTAGGAATCTTCCAGGACAGCAACCTGAGAGATGATTGGTTCCACCTTCTACAGGAAACACAATTAGCAAAACAGTTAAAAGCCCCTCCCCTTCCCCTCGCACCTCAGTTGTGATAAAATTAGACTACCACCCCAGTAAACGAGGGGACAATCCAACAATAATAGTATTTAACGCCTCGGTAAAACATTATCTGATCACACCCTCTCCCCACCTCCTCTTCCTTTTCCATTCTTCTCCCCCTCTTTTTACACCTCCTTCTGCTTCTTCCCCCCTCTCCCCCCCTTTTTTTTGTGTTTTGACCCCTCCTGTTTTATATAAGAATACATTTGGATCTTTCGATCAACCTACACAGGTTCCCATCTACGGTCGGGTCATATGGGACGCGTTGCTAACGCCAGCAAAACCTGATGGGTATCATACCTTGCGTATATCGCAACTTCGTTAAACATGATCCTGTTTGTACACTTACTTGTGTGTTTTATATGTCTTGCTTATGAGATCGAAACATAGGAATATTACTGGATCTACCTCCCGACCCAACCAGGTTCATGTCTGTGACCGACCCATATGAGACACATTGTTCCCGTCTATAAAACCTGAGAGGTTTCACTATGAATTCACATTGCAACTCTGTTAAACGTGATCCTGTTTATACATATACCTATATGTATGTATGTATGTAGGTTTTCTTTTGTGTTTTGATTATGGAACTGAAAAACTCAATAAAACTTTATTTAAAAAAAAAACAAATATGAGCATGTAAACTTCTCTATTCTGTAATGTTATTAATATTCGTGGTTCGTTTGGTACTCTTGGCTAGTAGTAGTCAGTCACATTTAAGAAGACTTGTTCTGTAAAGTTGTTGAAGGTGTTTCTCAACGTATCCAATCATCCTCTGAAGTTCTGTCAGGAACATAACCCAGCATTCACAGCCACATGGGTAACCCAGTCACCATGCAATGTGCCAAGGCAAATGCTGATTGTGAAGGCTTATGAAGCCACCCTTTTCCAATTACTTGATCTTTTCACAAACTTTCAAATCCTCCCACCATATTTTTGATCAACAGCTCTCAGAGTTTCCAGTGTGGCTATAAAAGCTGGTGTATGTTCCCGATAATAATTAGAACTGCTGAAGCTGCTTCGATACAGAGAGAAATATCTTTTACATTGCTGTAAAGTTCAGTAAAATGTAATACAAATGTAATAAAGTTCAGTAAAACCAATACAGCTATACTGCAGCAGTAGCAAACTCGGCCAAGTGTTAGCTGGGAGATTTTTCTTTTTCTTTCAACCCCAAGAAAAGAAAAATGACTTTAGGTAAACCTGTATTCCACTGTTAAAGACTAGAAGCAAATCTTGCCAGAAAAAATCTCTGCTGTGCTCATTTCCCAATTGGGATTCCTCAATTTAGGTAAGAAGCTCTGTTCACTCATGAACTCTTGTTCCAATAAGATGCCCTTTTAGCCCATGAGGAATTTTCATTCAACAGGGAGGTGGTAGGTGGAATTTACGTGGCAAATCGAGAAGCAATATAAAAAACCAGCATAAGGGTCACAGAGAGGGCTTTTTTGGTCAACAGTTAATATGAATAATAAACACCTTTTGGTGCCTGCTTCTAGCATTATGTTTTAGACAGCTAAATCACATTTTGCTCTAGAAACAGCAACCCCCCTATATCTAAAAGGGTGAATTATATATTGCTAGGGTTATAAAACAAAATGAACATGTCTTCCATTGCAAGCATGTACTGGCTTTCGCCAACCCATCCAAGCGTGCATACCTGACGTTGTCCAATTGCAGCTGCACATTTATGTGGCGGTCAGACAGTTCACTCATCTCCTTGTCTTGTTTTTCCTTGTATGAACTGTACTCCATCTTCACAGCCCGGAGCTCGCGGTCTGCAGACTGAAGAACTACACGCAGATCGTGGACCTCGCTTTTTAAAACTACAAAAAACAGGGTTTGGCCTTCAAAAGATACTATACATGACATCAGGATATAAAAACTAGGATTATACAGTAGATCTTGTTCAAGGTTTTCCTAATATTACAGTGCAGATTTTGTCGCAAACATTAATGGAAACTTTGATAGCAAAGAGTTAAATGATAGTTCACAGACTGCTCCTTAAAATGAATTTAACTGGAAGTGCATCTAAATACAAAACAGGTTTTAGTTTTGGATGGAGTGTGAGGGTTAGAAGAGTCAGGATTTTAATTTTGTTTGTGCCCCTGCTGAGGAGAATCACCTTCTCTATGTGTCCTGGTGACCACCAATAATAAAATTAAAAGGAGAATCCATTATTTTAGAGGTCAGAGGAAAAATTACTCAGATGAGATTTCCTCTTACTTCCGATTAGCTGTACAGGACAAGTAGTAAGGAAATCCTACACAATGGGACAAAGACAGCAGAAGAAAACTTGACAGGGGTTTAAGCAATTAAAAACCTACACTGCAAGTGTTAACTGCTCATTTGTTTTTAGGTGCTCAGAAAACCCCCCAAAAAACAAGTTATACTCGCCCAATCATTCGAGCCCGCTTGTTCTTAGACCGGTCCCTAGAGCCTCTCTCCCCATCCTCTGCAGTGGTCTAAGAATCCTTGTATAATCAAGTTCTATACATGTGTATAGACGTGAGGAACATTCCATTTGTGCAGTGGAGAAAGAGGCACGCGTCAGTGACCATAGAAGCAGGGAGTCGGCTCGGCAGTTCGGGTAAGTATATATATATATATA